TTTTTTTTTTTTTTTTTTTTTTTTTTTTTTTTTTTTTTTTTTTTTCGTTCGACAAAACGACTACGAGTGTCTTGTTTGTGCGTAATTTCTTTTGAAAATCTACAAGAATGCTCGAAATCTTTGGTAATTAATGTTAAGATACTCTGACAGTGATTGAAGAAAAGAAAGAAATTTTGAACGTTGTTGCTATGGTGCGACAGTGTTCAATGAATTATCGAAACTAGTATTTTAATTTATCGAGTAATACAGGAAGGTAACAAACGTTTCACGCGCCGAAACTTGACTTAAACCTTGTATCACGTTCTTCCGATTAACGATGAGATCGATTAGCGATCGCCACCGTCCATACATTTTTCATAGCCGCATTGACGCGACGACAACGTCACAACGGTTCATTAGAATTTTTAATCGGGCCATTGTTGCGCACGACGATTTTCGACGCTTTTAAACGTGCCCTTAAACGATATATGGAACACTGGAGCACATTTGTAAACAATAGAGTGGATCGATTATGGTTGCGAGGAATTTCCCTCGGGACGAAATTTCGAAACGTTATAATATACTTTTATGTATTTTCAGAACAAAACAACGAACAATCGAAGAGATATAACAGTGAGAGTAACGTATTACCAAAATACTCCATGCTTCGTTTCGCATAATGATTCTCCTCCTTGATCTTCATTCTTTTCAATGTAGTACGTTCTCTCGCAGTAGTCAATCTGGTGGCTAGGAATTTAACACGAGCACATGGCACCGGTCATTTTGCATCCGTGTGCTGCGAGCACGTCGCAAAGCCTTCGTGATTGCACGAATTTCGCACGTCACCGTGGGGAGATCGCTCGACGCGGAATACCAATCGGCCTGCCGATACGGGGAAAGGTAATAAAAATCGAAGGAGAAAGAGGGAGGACGAAGAAGAACGGAAAAACAACAACAGAAGAAAAAACAACGTCCGGCTAGAGCGCGGCGCGCCTCGTCACTGAATATCATCTCGAGGGTTGATTTGGGAGACGCATTGATTCGGGGAACTCCGCGGTCGTGCGCATGCGCGGCCCGCTGCGCCACCGATCTGCGCAGACGCCGCGTTCAAATGTTTCGTGATTACACGTGGTTATCCAGGATTGTCGATAATAATTCTATCGAAATCCCCAAATATTGATGTTATTCTATTATTCTATATACCTGGTGACAAAAAAAAAATGCAAATGTTTTGATGCACGTGCAAAATAGACACATTCGCAAAGGAAAATAAAAAAAACACAGTGGTTATTTCGAGTAAGAATCAATGCTGAATTCTAACAACTTGGTCAATTTTATGAACTAAAAGTAACTCCAGTACGATTTACATTTCGCGCAAGTGTAAAACGAATCGTTTCTTATTAAAGTTAAACGAGCACGATACACGATAACAAGAGAATAATAGTCGTAACCTTTCCAGCTTATCTTTTAACCATGTTCTCGCGCGAGATTACACGTTTGCCACTGAACGCGATATTTTTATTTGTTCTTCTTCGTTTAAGAGCGATCGTTATCGCGTAATTAGTCGAAGTTACGAACAGCGAGTGGCTATTAGACGAGAAGAAAGATCGACGCTTCGTCTCGAAAATGAGAGCCGGATAGCGATCGCGCTTTGTCGACTTCGGTGTGGTTTAATTAAACGCTAATTGAGTTAATTAACGAAGAATCGCGCGAGCATTCCGGGACGTCTTTTGTACGAGACGACTCGAATGAAACTCGCGTATTATTTAAAGTAGGCAATCTTTGCACGCTGATGCGTTTTCGCTATCGTTTAAGAACTTGAGATAAGAGAGAAGATGCGCAAACTTTCTAGTCCTAAGTAAATATGTTGTAACTCTAGACCGCAGAAGAACGATAATCGCGGTGTGAACATTCTTCTTAAATTATTGCTAGATTTCCTTACTAGACGTAGAACACGAGAATTCATTTTGTATAATAGATGTTAAGTGCAAAACTATGCAAATTGGGAGATATACGAGATATACTCATATATGGATAATTAATAGTCTTGTCTATCCGAATGAATCTTTCACGAAATACACTATAGTTTCAACGACAATAACTTTGTTATCAAGGAGCAAAAAGTTCTACGGAAATTCGTAAAAATTCATTTTATCACTGAATCACTTTTATCGTTGAATGCAACTTTTCACAATGTCGCTTAACCGGTACTCTCTTTCCACGCTTCTCCCTCTAATTTCCTTCTTTTCCCTCAAATTAAGTTCTCCACGGAGCACTTGACACCGAGACACAAAGAGCCCGTACATGTGGAGAGTTGAGCCACGATCGCCAGCGATTTTCTCGACGAAAAACCTTGAACAGGGCGTCCATTCACGAAGAAATCGAAATTCCAGCAAGTCGCGTTTAGGCGGCTCCCTTTTACACGCTCCTATTTCCGTTGCCGCTGCGAACCGTCTGCTAGGAGGTTCCACGACGTGCTGCTCCGTTTCTCTCTTCGTGCAATAGTCAATCTCCTCGCCAAGTTTCGAGTGAAAATTACAGAAATACAACGCTGGAAACTTTCTTAGAAAGAAAGAGAAATGTTTAAAGAGGCAAGAACGATAACTGGAAAAACCTTTATGGTGAATTTTAAAGCGAAGTTCGTCCGAAATGGAAATGTTTAGTTTCAGCAGGAAGTAGTAATAAAGGATCGTTTCGAGAGAGACAGCTACAAAGGAAGACGTAATGAAATCATCATAAAGATAAGGGTTTCGTTTTAGAAGGATTCCGGCAGGTTTTTTAATGACATTAATTGCAGTATATCGCTTCCGTTGTAAAGCGTTTCCTCCCATTGAAAACGAGCGAACAGGTCGCCTGATGTCCATTGAATAACAAGGAACGGGGAAATCATTGGTTCCAGGTATTATCGCGGCGGAAATAATAAATGTTTTGAACATCAGAACTAATATAATAAAATATGATCAAATATTTTCTGAAACGAATTTTTAATCACCCCTCAAGCCTAATCTAAAATCTAAACAAGAAAAAGCCAATTTTCTTCAATTTTGTCGATAGCTTATTCATTCACAGTATTAAAAAAGAAAAAAAGAAAAACTGCTAAGATTTTTACAATTTTAGAATCTGTTGGAATCGAATTGTAATTTACAAAATTCTTGTAAAATTTTGTTAAAAACATTTCCGTGGTTAAGTTCTTCGTTCAAGAAACAAATTCACCCTTGGTCCATCACTAACAATAAGAAGAAATCTTGTGCAAATGAGAATTATTCCAATCTCCCTAATCTAATCTATCTATCTATCGCTAACTATTCGATGTAACACAAGAAGTTACCCCTCTCTCTCTCTCGAGAGTGTGGAGCCTGTTTTTTCTTCTTTTTTTTTTTACCCCTCGACGCAGGAAACATCGAGGACAAGCCTCCGCTTGTTACCTTGAACTTAGATAAGCGCGCGTCCCCCTTTCGGCTCGATTATAATTTGACGGGCATTTAATGTGCGTCGAACAACGACGGCTGCCCCGACGAATATTTTATTTGACAGTCTAAACGCGATAGTAATCCGTTTACGACCGCCGCTTGACCCTCGCGTAACCCCCCTAACTGGGAAATTGGGCCTCTCCAATTAAGGAAACAGCCGGGAAGAGAGAGCGTGCGAGCTGCTCGAGCGATCGAGCTGAGGATGGCCGAGTCTTAAGCGTCGCGGAGCACGGCTTCGCGGCGTCTTATTGCGCGTGTCGCGCATAACAAGCTACGTTACGAGTATACGTTTTGTCACGACGTCTTTCACGAGGTGAAGAGTTAACGCTTCGGGCTGAGACTGAAACTGATAGCAGCATTGGCAGAAAGCGTTGGATGTTTATGAGAAGGATAATTCATCGAGTAGATAGCACATTGGATTAGACGGTATCATATCGACGGAATAGAGATTTGCATTGAATGGAAAAGAAAAATAACACTTGCACAGAATTACATTTTGCACGTTTGTATAAAAATAGGTTTTTAGTGATCTACATTTGTACTCGTATGATAACGTGACATTAATTGCAATGTTACAAACAATGTTGTACAACAATGATTACGTACTTTGCATTGTATATGTGCAAGTATATATTTACGTAGTACTCTTA